TACAAAATGACGTAGTTGTGAAATTAATCCAATTTTTGGTGCGATAACTTTGCAAATTTTATCAATGTGGGCTTTTCCATGACATATTCTGGTCAATGGAGACACCAAGGTAATTGACAACATATACGCCCTCTATCGGTGATCCGTTAATTTCCAGGCTGCCCTCAGTAGTGACCGATCGTTGTGGTGTTTTAATTATCATGTAATTTGTTTTTTCAGAATTAATAGTAAGTTTGTTAGCACTGCACCATTCACGAACCCTTTGAAAATCATTATCAATTTCTGAGAGATTGATTTTATTGTTTTGAATAAATTTAAATAGGTTAGTATCATCTGCAAAGAGTCGAAAATGAAAGGAATTGGTAGAGTTGGCTATATCATTAATATAAATTAAAAATAAGATTGGGCCTAAAATCGACCCTTGCGGAACCCCGCAGGTAACAGGGCGTGGCAAAGATGAAGTTTTTTCAATACATACAAATTGTTGGCGATTACAAAAGTAGTTTTTAAACCATAGTAGAGGAAGACCTCTAATACCATAGTGTTCTAGTTTGCAGTACAGTATTTCATAATTAATGGTGTCAAAGGCTTTTTTGAGATCGATAAAAATACCAAAGGTGATATGGCCGAGGTCCAGTTTGTCAGCTATGTCGGACACCAAGTCAGTCAAGGCAAGTTTTGTACTGTGTTTTTTACCGAAGCCAAATTGAGTATCAATGAGTATGGATTGTGAAGATTCAGATCAGCCCAGTGTGAGTGATGAGAGTATATCGTCGACGATGCCCCTTGTTCGGATGATAGTTTTATTTCAAATTACACGGAAGTCTGTGAACAATCTGCTTGGTGTTTCTGTGACAATTGTCCCATGATTTGCCAGTGCAGCCCCGTGAATACATGGACGAAAACGTTTCCACCGCCACCCTACGAACTCAGATTGCATACTCCAGCATCCAGATTTTGAAATCATGCACGCACAGTGCAGTACTGGAAGCATTTATTAGACAGTTAGACAAAAAAAATGCCTGTCTCGATCAATCGCACATCCATAATGTTTGTATGTTGATACGCTTGTAAATAATATTAACGTAAAAGTCGAAACAACCTAGACTAGAAGTCAATTCACCAGTCCAGCCAACTATGGCTCCCTAAGTTGTCTATATTTAATCAGATACTATTTCGTCATCATGCTTTGTTACCTTTCCTGTTTATACCTTATGAGGGCGTTTTGTTTATGGCAAGTTTGCGCAATCGGAAGTTCTTTCGCAGGTTTATGGTTTCTCGTATTAAAATCATCATAACTCTGAAGATAATCATGTTTTTTTATTTTTTTTCAAATTTATAATCAATATACATAACTTGATAAATACAAACACCAAATTAGGCTCTATTTAGTTTCTCTTTAATGTCAACAGACGCAAGTAATGAACATAGTTTTATATACAAGTGTATGCTGATTTCACTCGTAGAAAAAATATTGTGGGAGTATATTTATCTCGTGCACATTTCCACAGTACGACATTGTGAAACGGTTAAAATCAAAAACCAACACATGGTTCTTGAGATATTGGTGAAACAAGCAGACATGCACACACATAAATTAGTTGACACCACTGAGTTTGATTTCAAGCAAACATCTTGTGTATGCTGTATGTCGCTTCTACTTGTTCATGATGTTTGCTCCAATTCACTGGGCTTTTTTCCAAAAAATATCAACTGATTATTTGGAGCGGCTAATTAAAAATTTAGAAAATACACTTGAACCATTTGTTACTAACCAAACCCGGAAGCTTTGAACAACCTTCAGGCGTACAGGGATCTTTAAAAAAAAACATAAAAAATGTGAATCTCCAATTGTTAATAAAAATGGGTGGATCATATTGAAAAAAAGCTTCTAATATTGATCTTATTTGGTAAAAACTGTTGACACATTAGGGGATTATAACTATCACTAATTGGCTATACGGCTCAAAAGTCACAGAGGCCAATATCTTGAAAGGACAAATTGGATGCCATCACACTTAAAGAATAACAACTTGCAGCAGTGAAACTACCATATTCAAATGGCTGTTACTGCCCCTGGCCACATTATTACAGCAATACATATTTGCTCCTTAGGTTGAGAATAAAAATATGTTTCTTGTTTCCGCGCGCATCATTTTGAACTATGCGCCTCAAACTTTTTATCCTTCTAAAGCATTCTAAAATGCGCTTGTATTCGCACTTGTCTCAAATTTCCCCAATTTTAGCTCAGTATTCAAAAAAAAAAAATCACCTCGCTGCCTCAGAGATTTTTTTCCTGGCCTTATGTAATATTTGTTTTCTTTGGAAAATGTTGGTGACAAAGCGAGATTTGTTGTAATTGCCAATAGATTTTTGGCACGAGGTCATATCATCTGAATTATATCAGAAACTGTATTATTAAAAGGACACGCTTGTTATTATGTAATTTTGTATTTATTAATTCATTGTTATAGTATGAATTGATAACAGCCCAGAGATAGGTTTTATAGCCCAGCCGGTAGCCGCATTTGTCACTACACGTACAGAAAGTACCTATTATGTGACCTCGAAGTCGCACTTGGACACTGCTGGACGAGTATCTATTGTGATGAATGAACAGGTGTGACGGACCAATTAGCGATTGACACAATTAGCCATGTGGTGCTGGGTTGTTGCTGCTGGAGATCTCGACTAACGATCTACGCTTTGTAAGACACTGGAAACGGCGAGCAGTACCACCACATACTGCCATAGTTGAATCCAGTCTGTAGTCTAAGGAAGCCTTGACACTGGATGAGAAGGTAGGTACCGAACATTCCTACACACACACTAGTTAGTCCTGGGCTTCGAGTTATTGTATTATATTGTTAATTTCTGGAATTGTTTTTTTTTTCCTGGCCAGTTCATTTATGTAACGTTTTAGGAGTACATGGAACTGATATACGTGACGAGTAGCCTGAGGGTAGGGTAGGATATGCCGTTCCTCCCCTGGTCGTAGGGTCGCTAACGACTTTGCTGTGGTGTCTACATTCCAAAATTTCGTAACCCCCACGTTTTACCAATAATATAGTTGCGTTGGTGCGTGGTGAAGGCCGCGTGTAGTGCTGAACCTCTGCAGGGGTGGGCGATACCGACGGAGAGAACTGCAGCAAGCATACGTTTTGTGTGCCTAATAAACTATGGTTTCACGTAATTCATGTGTAGTGTCGTATGTTTAAGATTAGCCGGTGTGCATTATTGCTGCTTATGTGCATATAGTTATATTGAACAATACTGGAGCCCATCAGTCTAAATTATACCTGTGTTACACGAATTGTGTAATTTTATATTCGTTAAGAAGCCGCACACGAGGTGGTACAACCACAAAAACAACTTGTCACAATATGCAAGTGGACCAGAAATTCAGTGTCAACACAATTAAGTGTGATAAATCATTTATTTCACACATGAAATTAAATTAATTACTGGTACTTAGTTTAACTGCATTTACAAAAAATAAAGTTAAATAAAAAATACTTATTTGAATAAATTATTGTTAAGTAGGTTTATCAGCTGACGATTAAAGAGCATAATATGAATAAATTATTTTAATGCAGCAAGAAACAAACTCATAGTACAGGCAAAGTATACGAGATTCCTGAGCAATTTTTATATTTTCATTTTGATTTAGTTATGTAATGATGTAGTACAGTTGGGGAAAAATGACTAAGTGCGCAAGAAATATCAACTTTCCAACATTCATAAGGACATCACTAGTACTATAAAAGCTACCAGAGCAGGACTCCAGAAGACGTACCTACACTTTATGCAATTTTTTTAATTATGCTAATTTATTCATGACGTAGCAGTTTCTGTGCTCATGAATATTCATCAATTTGTGGGTCAATACATTCTAAAAGGGGCGATATATTATTTTGGGGGGAAGAGTTAGAAAGGGGAATTAGCAATCCTTAGGGGGTCAATACAAAAGAAGGGACCCATTTGAAGAGCAGCATTGCTCTCCGTGTCTGTTGTAGCACATGACCTACAGCTGTCAACTGTGTTCGTACTTCAACGACTTCATGTGAGGTTAGTATTCTTGTGTTCTGTCTTTCTGACTTGAGTTCTTGATATACAGAAGTTGCTGTTTATGTTTTTAACGTCTTTCATTTCTTGTCTAGTAGCGTGTCCTGCCAGTAAACTAGCTTTTGCGAGAAAAGACTGGCAGGCATGGGAATTGAACCCAGGTCCTCTTGAACACTGTGTAGACAGCTGACCCACAAGACCACAATGGATTGACTGGATGTGTTTGCATTTGATAAATACAACATATTTCTATTATTGAGTTACAATTGTATTTTGTGTTTTTACTTGTGTAAACTATATGCATGCCATAACCCGTTAGTGTACATCTTGCCAATTGGGTGTTTGCCATTTGCGTTGCCCATACCTGACCCGACCCTAACCCTAATGCCAAGACACGTTCCTGTTAATAATTGCTCAATAATGATACTCTGTGCACTGTCTGCGGGTAAGTTGCATTGATGTCAACTGATTAAACAAGTCGCGTTTAAGTAATTTCCACTATTAACAAGTGGTTAAATTGTGACAATAGATGTGTGGACAAATATTTTAGACTTATTTTGGTGTAGACAACTATCATTTAATAATTTGACCCCATTACTAGTTGTTAAATTGTGACAATATATGTGTGGACAAATATTTTAGACTTATTTTGGTGTAGAAAAGTCACGTTTAATTTACTTCCACCTATTACAAATTGCTAAATTGAGAGAATAAATGTGTGGACAAGTATTTAATACTTAGTTTGGTGTAAACAACTCGCACTTGATTAATTCCCACAATTACAAGTTGTTAAATTGAGAGAATAAATGTGTGGTCAAATATTTGAGACTTATTTTGGTGTAGAAAAGTCACGTTTAATTTACTTCCACCTATTACAAATTGCTAAATTGAGAGAATAAATGTGTGGACAAATATTTTATATGTATTTAGGTGTAAGAACTCGTGTTTGACCAACTTCAACCATTGCAAGTTATTAAAATAATTAAATAAATATACTGGTATCATTGGATTTTTGATTTAATTGTGAAACTTTCTAACATAATGTTAACTGCCGACTTCGAACCCTCAATCAACAATTCCGCAGACACAGTATATATTACACAACACCACAGAAGTTATTCGTCTGTTTCCTGAATTGTTTTCGTAATATAGGGAACGCCATCGACACTTCAACAAAACTTGCCTTGACTTGGGTCTTGTTTTTCTCTTGTCACAATCTGGAAACTGTTGAAAAAATTGCGCGTCGCCCAGTTTAAGACGCAAGTTATTTTATTATTTATTCATTCAGTTTTGCATGGTGGAGTTTTGTGAAGTTTATTATTTTTTCGCGACGTTCTTTGTTTACTTGTCACGGTTTGAGGGAGTTCAGTTTATTTGATTCACTCGAACCCACTGTCTTTTCAAACTAATTTTGTTTTATTTTGATGGCACGCTTGTGTACCACGCCACGACGTTGGTCGTTTAGCGGTGTTCATTTTTCTAACTACTCCAGTGTTCCGATGAGTTGAACGGGAAAGCCAAAACGATTGATGGTTTCTGATTGCTTCGGTTCTGGCGAGTGTATATCTAGTGTGATTCGAACCCATGTCGTTTGTATTGGTCGTTTTTTTATTTCCCATGTTGGCTACGCCGTAATATGCAAATACTTCCGCGTTTTATTGTGATTTTGTGAGTGTTTAATGATGTCTTCGAATTCCTCACCCATCACGCCATGACCCAGTTTCAACCACACGGCCATTTTGCAACAAAGTGCGTGACCCTCGGCGTGACCTGACTGACTATATGATCGTTCTGTTCAACTGTTAAGCTAAGATTTATTACTGTTATTATCATTATATTGTCACGTGATTTGTTATACCTTATGTGTATTGTCTTAAGTATCTATTGTAATTTGTATATACCAATTCGTATATACAGAGGAAACAACCCCGATTGAAGGTCATCTATTTTGTGACGTAAGCAATTCGTGTGTAGGTACGGCTTCTAGAACCGTGCCCCATTGGTTCTTTACAAAGAATATACAGCATGCAATATCATTAATCTACAAACACACTGCGCCATGCCCTGGCTTCACTATTTGTCCGATGGAAACTGTCTTGGAAAGCTGTGGCAATCCACATGCCCACAGGATTGTTTGCTGGCGCTCCTCTCAACTTTGTCTGTATTTTCTCTGTTGCTGTTGTCCTTGTCACAATTTGTCGAGTCACTGTTGCGGTCAGTCTCATCCCAATTAGCTAAGTCGTTGTCACTGTCTGCTTCATTTGTAAACGTACTGTCCCTGTTTTAATTGCATCTTCGGTAAAGTCACAATTTGTGTTATCAGTGTTCATGACAGGCAAAATCTGTTTTCCCGGCCAAGTAACATTATCTTTAATCTGAATACAAAAAAAAATGATTTTACTTTTAAATGCACAAAAACAAACTGTTGATAGAAAATATAGTTTTTAGATGTATATCAGTAAAATTACTCGCACCCAAATCAAATCAAATCAGACTTTATAACATAACGAGTAACCTTGGTGGGTCATTATAATGTACCAAGAGGTTTTGTTTTGAACATAAAGTATTATTGTTTAAATTAAATATATAGACAAACAGAAATGGTATTTTTTTCGAAAATAGAACCAAATGCATCTACCTGTACATGTGCTCAATTAGTGTGACACTCATACACGTTTCTCAGTACAATGTTAGTGACTTGTACAAAGGAGAACTCTCTTCCTGAAATGTAGATATGTTATAATCATAATCCAGACCATGTATCAAGATGTGTGAAATGTTTCAGTATAAATACTGGGAAGATCAAAAATTCAAACTACCAAGTTTAGGGTTTGAAAACTTGCCCAGATATATAATATATATCATCATTATTGTCATGGTCCAAATCTGCGTTGTGCACTACAGGTAATAGCTACCACAGAATGGAAGGTGAATTATGGTAGTTATTGGTTTGCACAAATCTGACAGTTGTACCGCTTACACTGTTGAAGAAAAGTAACAATATGTTCCATCAAGTTCTTAACTTGGATAACCCTGACTGCCATGACATAGTTAAGCTAAATAAAAGTCTGCGTATGCTGAATAATTACTAGATCAGTATGGTAATTGTTCTCAACTGAGTTGTACGCTTTTGTGATTGACGACACATAGTAGTTGTTAATTACTTTCTTTTCCAGTATCCTTTCATGAAATTGTTGCTTAAATTATTCTCTTCCTTGAACAATTTCTTAGAGATAACAGCACTACATGTGTTGCCACACTAATGAATAAACAACGTACCGAATCAGGCTATTTTTCAGGACAATCTTTTAACTTTAATTGCTTCGGTGTACTGTTATTAGGCCATTAATTTGTCTTAATCATCTTCCTGTAAAAACAAAATTAAAAGCTGACATTTACTTTATTTGCATCTTTCATGATTAAAAAAGAGCGCCATTTGTTTACTAGTTAAAATGATAAAAGCTCTTTTAAAATGCCTATTTTTGTAAAGCTTAACAGAAGCAATTTTTCTTCTCAATCTTCTCAGAATTTCAGTTTTAATACTTAGGTATGCGGTTAATAACTGCAAATATATATGAAAAAACATGTTATAATCTGGTGAAGTGTACAATTTGGTGAAGAGTTTCTAGATGTTCTGTCTTATGTTTAATGACGCAAAACAGGGTTGTGATGGGGAGATCACTGTATATGATTATTCAACTAAAGAGTAAATAAAGACACTAATAATGTCTATAACTAGTTGTCACATTGCCCATTACTTGATTATCACTGTCTATTTATCACTGTCCATTACTTTACTATCCTTGTCTAGTCATCACTTTGCCTGTTACTATATTATCCCTGTCTATTTATCACTGTCTATCATACTCTCAGTCGCTTCATTATATCTGTCTATTTATAACTCTATAAGACTACATTGTATAATAATAAATATTTATGCTTGCAGTGGTCCAAGGTTATATGTTGTGGAAGACAATGTTTCCCCACTTTTTATTTTGTGAATTTGATCCAGCTTTCTGCTCATTCGAAATTTAGAAATGTTTAGTAATATATTCTGTGTTCTACTTCTTCTTGAGAACTGCCAACTCAATTACTTCGATACTTGGTTTGTAACAAGTTGATAACAAATGCAATCGTTATAGTAACTATAAAAACTACCCCGATGCTGTGATTGAGAACATTGTGATGTCGATCAAAATCAATCAATATTTTGCTATTAAAACATGAATATTTAGTAGTTAGGTATATCGATTATCGTTGATATTAATAAAAAGCCGATCAGAACTTGTTTCATTATAAGTGTCACCACTGGCGATTATAAAAACAAATTTAAATCTTTTTTTTTATGTGTCATTGTTACAACAGTAACGCAAGTATAGCAACAACCGTCTGGTTTAATAATCGCATAACATGCTTAAATAATCGATATAATTTTCCATTATTAAACGTTGAGATCTGTTGATTTTACGTGAAATATTTGTTCACTATTTATGCATAGAGTAACAAATGTGAAGAAACGTGTTGTTTATCAGATGCAGTTCATAAAATTTTATTGGTATTCGTACTGTCAATCTCGGGATAATAAATTGTATGTGTATGTTGTAATGGAGCATAAATGTTAATTATCTATAATCTTGTTATTTGTATAACTACAGAAACATTGTGAATAAACATAGAAATAACTTGCATATGTTTTTTCGCAGTTGTGGAAAGTATTTTACCGAAAAAATTAACTACGATCCCACTAATACTAATACCCCTGTGCACATCTCGCGTTATTTGATGGAATAAAAATGAATATCGCGTTATTACATTACAGTCGCCTTAGTTAAATTGTTTGTTTATTGGAATAACTAGTTAAGCCACAGCACAAACGTTGCACGCATCTGACAAAGGGAAAAGCCGCGTTGCTAGTCAGTTGCTAGTTGCAGTCTGAGCACAATGTTCCATACAATTCGTGAAGTGAAAAGAGTGTTTTTTCGTCAACTACATCATGTGTATTTAAAATAATGGTTGGTCTTCATCCATAAATATTGAAGATACTAGTACAGCGTACATGTTAGTTTATGTGTTTTCTGTCAATGGCTGTGGCACAATTTATTCATCTAAATAGTTGACAACAGATTTATGTTCGTATTGGAATGGCTTTACGTAGCAATTGTACGGTAAATTTGTTTCCCTCTTGCTCTGTTGTAAAGTTCTTTCACTTTTATAGTGAACATGCCTCTGATGTTAGATCCACATGCACATACTCAATTTATTTGGCCAGTCCCTGCCAACAGACTTGTGTATCAAATAATAATAATGTCAACCACTCCAGTTATACACATGTTTACGTAAGAAATGTCAGAGAAACATGAGAATAAGACCCCCCCCCCACACATCAACACTTAACATACATTCTGCCAAGAGAGGTTCAAATACTTGGTAGTGCTTTACGCCAATATACATTTGTTTTGTATAAAAAAATGTAAATAATTATCAACATTTATGTATTCATATGGCACTTCTTTTTTGTCAGTAACAATTGATATCAATATTTAAAGCATAATAGAGCCCATTTTATTAATAGTAAATGTAATTTTTATTACCAAACGCTTCAGCGTGGTATTAAGAATTTGTTTTCAGGGTTGGGTGATACGAAGGTGGAAAATGGTTGCACATATGGGGATAATCCCTGGAATTGCAATAGAGAGGGTTCAGGCCAAAATACAATATATAGTGTTTTCATGTTTCGTCTGATATTTC